CCTCACCACCAATTTGGATCACTTGTTGTTCCCTTGTCCCTGGGTTTGTTAACACCACTTCCTTTCCCCCGACATCCCCCTCTCCCATGTCCCCCCGGACCTGTCGGTCCTGTTGTTTTCTCCTCCAGATTGTTTATCCAGCCTACCATATTTAGACAGATCAGTGGCGATAATAACATGCACAAAAACAAGACAGAGCAATACCAAGCAACAATATACAACAAAACAACAACAAACCAATGACAAAAAACAAAACAAAACACATCAAGAAAGAAATGTTTGTAGTTAGTTCCAGGATCGTTTGTTGGCCTTTAGGGGTGTTTTCTAGTCCAGTCTGTTGGGGCACCACATCCTGGCCCCAAAGTCCTCCTTCAGCATTCCCTGGGGACCTCGCTGCTTGGTTCCCTTGCTGTTCTGTTGCACCGCCATTTTGCCTTGGTGTGGCAGGATCAGATCGGGTGCATTTCCCACACTGTCTCTGGTGTTGTCCCCTGTAGGGCTGTGGGTCAGTGAGGGGCGCCATGAGTTAGACCAGATTCACTGGCACCTAACAACAACAACAACAGAGTTTTTGCAACCTATATAATCATGGGAAGGAACCCTGGTTGTGTAGTGGACTATGCACTGAGTTGCTAACTGCAAGGCCAGTGGTTCGAACCCACCAGCTGCCCTGCAGGAGAAAGATGAGGCTGTTTACTACTATAAAGATTTAAAATATGGGAAACCTAAAGAAGAAGTCTGTTCTGTCCCTAGGGTCCCTGTGGGTCTGAGTCTACTTGATGCCAATGAGATTGCTCTGGCTTTTTGGTTATATCATCTTGGGAAGATAAAAAGGTTCTTAAGTTTCTGCGTACGTACTTCACTCAACAGCGTTTTTATTTGCCTGTGCTCATTTCATCCTGGCTTCTCTTGAGTGAACAGCTTCCCTTCAGTCTTTGGTGTTGGGGTTTGGTGAACTCTCTTGGGTCATATTTGATGGGTAGTGAATCTGTGTATGACCTAGCGATTATTAGCCTCGGGAGAGAGCTGATGATGATGAGCAGGATAAAGTCCATTTTATAGATGAGATAATTAGGACTCATTAAGGTTAAACTCTTAGAGCAGCTTTGAGTAACAGTCAGGAATTGAGCTCAGATCCTCATGTAACCAGAGTCTTATTTTCTTTCCACTACACTGACCCCTCATCTGATCCAACTCCCCGAAGACCTGCTTTGTGGCTTTTATTGTAAGCAAGTAGAACTTACTGACGTAATGGGCCCTGTTGGGAGTTTGAAGGCCTGGGAGAGGTAGTTTAGATGGAGACACGGAACGGAATTCTCATCAGTATGTGCCAGACCCATGCTAAGTACTTTCCATGTCCTATTACTAGTGTGCGGGTTTTTGGTTTTGTTTTTTAATTTAAAAAGTTGTTTTCATGTACATTTTAGTCATTGCTTTTTCTCCCCTATGTACAGATGGGAAAACTCTGGCACTGTGTAATTAAGTAACCTTTCTTGCTGTTAAAAAGTAGGAGAGCCTGGAGTCACTTCTGACTCTGAATCCTCTGATGTGAGGCAGGCACAGAAGCGTCAGTTAGATGAAGGTAGCTAATTTCGATATAATGGAGCAAGGGCTCAAGATGCACTGGACCTGTCTGGTTTTAGTACTGATTTTCTCTTTAAACTTACATAGCTCCTGCAAGAGACCAATTCCACAGAACAATCTATCTGGATGACTAACATGTGGTTAATGGGCCTTGATTCCTGGTGTTTGTTCTGGAGGAGTTTTCCTGGGATTGGATTTCCACACACAGAGCATGTTCATTTGTCCCACAGCCCAGGGATTGTGGTGTCGGGTAGCAGGCAGTGCGTTGCAGTTTCAGCAGGGATGAAATGTTCACATCTTCACATCCTCAGTTAAGATGACGTAATTACCAGATAAAGTCTCTTATTAATTGAGAAAATAATTTATTCTTTTTCCACAAGACATACTAATGCTAATTCCTCCTGACACTGAAAGTCTAGGTGTTTTTTAAAATCTCAACCCACAATTAAACTATTGTGATTTTTTTCCCCCCTCTTGCTGTTAATTTCCCTTTAGATCATGGAAGAGACCTACAAAATGGAATTCATGTACAGTGGTGTGGAGCATAAGCAGGTGGTGATTGTGCATCACATGAGGCTGCAGGCCAAAGCCTTGCATCTTATAGTGACGGCCCGGACTACTCGAGGGTGAGCTCTGGGGCTGGTAGCAGGGCGGGCACGGTCCTTTCAAAGACAATGCCAAGTATTTCAGGGATATCACCAAGGGCAGTGAAGAGTGAAATTTATTTATGAATGAATCATTGATGTTTAGCAAATATTCAGGAACAAATGAGCGATTCAAATGAGAAGCCTGGAAATTGATCACATTTCTTGCCTTTGCTCAGCCTCCTCCCTGGCTCTCACTGTCTGCAAAGTGACGGAAGACTTAACTGGCATCAGAGACATTCCCTATTGCTCCACTAGATAGATTTCTTCAAGTACATTTTCTCTTCTACGGGGACTGGTAAGCTTCCTCTCAGGCAGAATAGACAAACTAAGAGAATATGCTGTGGAGTCAAGTCCTGACTTCTCCACGGCAGCAGTTTAATAATGGACAGGTTTTTAAACTGCTCTGTTTAAATGATAGGGAGTTAATGCTACTATCCTCTCGTTGGGTTTATGTGTAAAACAGGATACTATACATAAAAAGAATTAACATAATAGCACATAGTAAGAGCTCATCAACTTTGTAATGGGAATTATATTTCGTTGATTGTAAGGTACATGTTTTAAATTATTTTAACTAAATTCAGATAATTTGATGGTATACCTTATGCCTCAGTTTAATTGGAAGTATGTCTTGTATCTTGCAATTCCATAAAATAGAAGTGGATCTTATGATTAATGGTATCACCAATTCAGTGCCATTCAGGACTTAAGTAGTTGTTGCCTGCTGATAGCCAGATTTGATGTTCAGTGGTAGAGAAAAACAAATATAAATGTTTAAGTAAGCACTCAAAATTGCCAGGTTAGGAGGAATGTTTTTCACATAATAATGACCCGATAGATCAGGTTATGATTTAATCTCCATGCTATCCAAACATTCTTTTAGCAAATATTTAATGCCTACTTTGGGCCAGTCACAGCTGACAAAAAGGTCTAGGCTTGTGTGATCTTTATGTTTCATATGATGGTTGTCAAACGATAGAAGTATTACAGGAGTGAGTGGTGGTTCTTTTGTAATCTCCTTGTAAGACAGTAATGGTGAGCACTGCTTGTGTGCCACTGCAGGCTTCCCGAACATGCATGTGCTTATTCGAACATGCATGTGTTATACACACATGCGTATCGGCACATAAATAGGACTCTTCCGCCCACTGTGCTTTAACCCAGCACTATAGTATGCTCATCTAGAAATATACCATGTTATAAAGATACTAATGTATTTGACCTTACTACCGCTGTATTGTTTCTTACTTGCATATATCTTTCTTTTTTTCTTTCCTGACTTTTGCTGGGCCATTTGTTTCCTTTGCTTGTTTTCTTCTTCCAAGGGCTGTCAGGCCACAGTACTTGTATTCGATTCTTGACTCCAGAATCTGGAAACTCTGACTTCAGACAAGTTCCTTCATACTTCTGTGCCTCGGTTTGTTCTCTGAAAGTTACAGTGGGATATTATTTGCACCTATTGCTGCCCCCTAGGGTTACTATAAGAATTATTGAATGTAAAGCCCACAAAGTACTCCCCGGCCCATTCCTAGTAAACATTTTACAAATGTTCATAATAATAGTATCATTCTCCTTATAGTCCAAATATAATGAATTCATATTTGTCATTCAGCATAAAAAATTAAAGAGGGTCTCATTATCTCTCTGCCTCCTAGATCGTTTTAGCATGTTTTATTTGGTCAAGCATCTCATAGTGTTTAAATAATTTGGAATTTTTATTTATATCTTTCTGTAATCTGTCTTATTTAGAATTTTTTCTTTAAAAGGCACAAAAGATATCACTGGCTACATTACAGAATTCTTTACCTCTCATTTACCCACCCTCGTTCTTTTTATTTTGTTTTATTGGCACTTAATCCATATATCACACAATTCAGTACTTCAATCATATCAAGAATTGTACACTCATTACCACAATCAGTTTTAGAACATTTTATCCTTCCTCCCCCATGGTTAAAATCACTTTAAAAATGAGTTATGTAATCACCATCAGTTCAATTGAGTGCTTCCCCACCCCCCCCTTTCATATCCATTGTTTGCCCTCCAACCCCCTCATCCTTTTTGTCTCCCGCTCTGTGCTCCTTCCTCCCCTGTATACCCTTGCATCAGTTCTTGTCTCTATGCCTCTACTCTTCCTGTGCTTCCAAAGTGGAAAACCCAACAGAAACCATTAAAAATAAATAAATAAATAAAGTGGTAAGGATAAGATAATAATAATACAGAGAAAATTCAAATAGTGTGTAAGAAAGAAAAGACAACTGTGAATGTTTAAAAGGCCAGGAAAGACATTTTTGTCATGGAACTAGCAAGAAATACTTGTACCTAGACCAGTTTCAGGTTGGAAATAAGAGGGAGGTCACCTGACCATGCTGTCATGTTCGATCCAGTATAATCACGGTTACAGTGATCTCTATCAGATAGTAAAACTGTTTGAGACCCTTGCTGTGGCTCCTGGGGATCTGCCAGTTGCTTAATCAGGCTAGATACTCTGCAAATAGGTTTTGGGCTCCATAGCCGTCTACAAATTGGGTGTTTGCAATTTAGGCTCTGATACTTTCCCTTTGTCATCTTTGAATTTTGTTACTGTCTTTGGATCCCACAAGCTGGTGTGCTTCCATGTGGGCTTAGTTGACTTCTCACTTAGATGACTGCTTGTTTGAATACAAGCCTTTAAGATCCCAGACACTATTCTGATTGATAGCTGGGCACCATCTGCTTTCTTCACCACACTTTAGTGTAGCACCCCTGTCTTCAGTGATCGTTTCATGAAGGTGAGAGCATTGAGCAGGGCTATGTTATCAGAAATAACTGTTCTTGGATTGGGGCTAGCATTAAGTGGGGGCCAGGAATCCATTGGCTTGTCCCTGGGATATACATGGCTCAGGTTTACTTTGGCCACCTTATTATGACAAAATCAAAAACCCTTAAGACCAATTACCCCAATAACAGCAACAAACCAACTAGTAGAAAAGAGACAAACAAACAAAAACAAGCAAACTTAAAGCAGGGAAACAAAAACTTCCATCAAAAAGAAAAATAAATCGTCAATCATCCCGCAGGCCACACCTGTTCTTGCCTTACCATAGTTGCCCCTTTGAAATTCTTAATCGGATTCATTTCTCTTTGACTAGGACACATTCTCCATTCATTGCTTTTTAGAACAAGTCTGCAAGTATTGCACTCACTGAGAACCTTGCGTGTCTGAAGCTGCCTTTCCTGGGCCCTCGCACATGCGTGGAATTCTTTCACACTGGGCTGCCTTCTCTGAGTGTGTAATGTGCCAGGCAGGATGTCAGTTGTCAGTCTGCCTTTCTTTTCTTTGTAAGTAGTTTGCTTTTCCTGCCACCGAGCTGTAGACACTTCATTTTCCTTTTAGAATTCAGAAATTTCACCAGGCTATGTGAAGTTTCCTTTCACTGTTCTTGTTGGCCTGAGGTGAGACTTTGAAGTCTGCACTCTATTTTTAGGTCAGGAATTTGCCGCCTTCATGATTGCTCTGTGATTGTGGAGTCTTAGAGGCACCTCACACTGGAGCTTTCATTATGTGGGTGTAGGATCTGCTAAGTCTCTTGCCTGCATTTAAGCTTCGCTCACTTAATCTCCCTTTGTTCTTCCCTCAGTGTTTTGGGTAAATTCTTGCATTTGCTCTTTTAGTTGACCATTTCAGTTGTCATCATGGTTCATTCTACTGTTCATCGTCCTGTGGGGTTTAATTTCATTCTTTTTCATTCCCAAGTGCTCACCTTTCCTAGTAGCAGTTGCATTTGCTTTATCAGGCATTGTCTTTTCACATCTCTTTTTCAGTCTCTCGGAGGTTGATGGTGAATTTTTTAAAAAATTTATTTTGTGCTTGCTTGCCTTGAGTTTTGCTTGTTTATCAAGGTCTGGCTGGCCTTTACAGCTCCTGATTATCCTTCTAGCACCTGGTAATTTCCCATTGTTTCTTTGTCCTTGTAGTTGGAAGTCTAGACTAGTTTAAATTGGCTGTTAGGTAGACTTCCCCAGCATTGGAGGTCAGTGTTTCACTCCCCTGAAGGCCTTCACCCTACCCTGCTGTTCCTCCTCATACCAAGGGAAAGGGGGAGTTTTCAGTGACAGAGCCCAACTTCTGTGCAGTAGTGGAGAGCCCGCTTGCTCTACTCACTGTGGAGCTTGGAGAGAGTTCCCAAATCTTTTGGTATCTCATTACTTGGAAGCTTTCCAAACTAGTTCTGTGTAAGCAGGCCAGAAACTGACACTGCTTGGCCAAATTGCTTTCCTTTGAGGTTCTGCTTGGTTGGTGGTCTCCCCTCCAGCCATCCTTCCCCTGCTGCTCTTTGATGTAGTAACCTATCAAATTTCACTTCCACATCTGCTAGATTTTCTCAAGAGTTAAGCACATTTTTAATGCTCCCATCTTTTGAGGAAAAGAATTCAAATGGATGTTGCTTACTCCAGAGTTGACTTCCCAGAGCCCTCGCCCACTTATTTATTCGTCCAACAGGGAGTATTCCAGGCACTGAGCAGAGTGCTGAGCAATGCAGTCTCTACTGTTAGGGGACTTTCCGGTTAACACAGTGGTTCTCAACCTGTGGGTGCAACCCCTTTGGGGTCGAACAACCCTTTCACAGGGGTCGCCCGATTCATAACAGTAGCAAAATGACAGTGATGAACTTTATGGTTGGGGGGTCACTACAATATGAGGAAGTGTATGAAAGGGTCACGGCAAGAGGAAGGTTGAGAACCACTGCGTTAACAGAAAGACTAAGCCAGGCTATAAAGAACAGAGAAGCCACATGTTTTCATCTAAGGAAAGAGTTGTGGGGCTTGTTTGTTTGTTTCACTCTTTCTTGGTTAGAATTTAACTTGCCAGTGAAAAACATATTAATGAGAATAAAGTCATGCAGAAATTAAATGCAAGACTTAGAAAGTACATGAAGGTGAAAAAGGGAAATCTATGCATGATTAGTAAATGGCCATTGCCTAATATGTTGTTGGATTACTTAGATATTATTTAGATAGGGAGAAAGGACACCTTTTCCATAAGATTTTGATCTTTGATTAACTTTCTAGGTCTGTTTTCTAGAAACCCGATAGAGTTAGTTTGTCCCCTGTGTTACTAGGCAACACTGTTATGATAAATCATTCCTGCACTAATCTAAATTGCATGTAGATTGGATGAGCTGTAAATGGACTATAATTACTTGGTGCAGACAGACCCTATAGCATTGGGCTTCCTTGAGTATGGGGATTCGTAAACCTGTGAGGCGCCTGGCAGCTATGCCATAGACTTGCTAGCAGAGATCCAAGCACTCATGGGCTTGAAGGTTCTAAACTAGGGTGGTCCCCTGAACTGCCCCTTGGAGATTACAGAAGATAGCTACTAGACGGCCAAGTGGATGCTGAGTGGACCTGTCCGAACTCCCACAGGAGAGGAATGTGCACTGCACCACTTACAAGCTGTACCACTTACTTGCCTTGTATCCTTAGTGAGTTGGGTCCCACGTGGAGCCTGCGATAGTCTTTGTTTCTGAATGGTTGTTGAGCACTGCCATGTTGGGCTCGTGTGCAGATATTTCCCTCCAAATCCATTAGGAGTCCTTCATTTCTCTCAGCGATACTTTTTTACATAGAGGATAAACATGTTTATTCTCCAGTCATGTGGGCTCAAGTTTCTGGGCTTCGTTCTTCATCAATTCTTAGTTTCCAGATTTCATAAGCAAATGATTTATTACTTTATTTTGTATTTCTTTTTGACAGAGTTGACTCCTTATTTGGAATGTGTGAAAAATTTTTACAGGAGGTGGACTTTTTTCAGAGGTAAGCATTTTAATCACCCGTTTGGCTTATTGAATCTTAATAGTACAGGAACATAACACCTATAACTACAAATTAGAGTCCCTTGTTTTGGTCCTGTATCCAAGAGATCGTGCTGTGGCAGTGTGCCCTAGCTTGGGCATTTTCTTCAAGGGGTATATACATTTTAAAGTTAGGGCTTCCCACTTAAACATGCTGCAGAATAAGGAAAACACTGGGGATAATGTCGAGTCAGCTCGCTCATAAAAAAGGCAAGTGTTCTTTGGTAAAACTCCTCTCGGTACCTTTTTGACCATTCTTACCACTGTTCTTCAACTTGATTGTTTTCCATCAGTTACATGTAATTTTGCATCATTTTATAGCTAACTTTTATAGAAAAGATATATCTTCTCAGACTTCTCTATGAAGAAATAGGGTAAAACAGATGACAGTGGTTGAATGGAAAGCTCAGTAAAGAGGTGAGGGTTAAGATGGTAACACACCGGTGGTGTGCTGCTCAAGGGCTGGAAAGAAGACCCTGATGAGATTGTAAAGCACTGGATGAAGTCTGGTACTTCATTTGTTCTACCTCTTGTATTTACATGACTTTACACTTACTTTTTACATTTTTTTTGGTAAGGCAAACAAAATAGAATGTTTATTATTCAAGTGTATTCTTTTCAGTAAATACACTTACCATTCTTTTTTCATGCGAGTAGTGATAACCAGTAAGTAAGCTCTGGCTGCCATCACCGCTGATTCCTGACGGTTTCATGTGGTCAGAGTAGAACTGTGCTCCACAGGGTTTTCATTAGATGATGATTGGGAGGTAACTTTCTTCTAAGGCAGCGGTTCTCAACCTGTGGGTCGCGACCCCTTTGGGGGTCGAACAGCCCTTTCACAGGGGTCGCCCCATTCATAGCAATAGCAAAATGACAGTGATGAAGTAGCACTGAAAATAGTTTTATGGTTGAGGGGTCACTACAGCCTGAGGAACTGTGTTAAAGGGTCGTGGCGGCATGAGGGAGGTTGGGAAGCCCTGCTCTAAGGTGACTCTACGGGAATGGGAACTTATCGCGCATGCTGACCATTTGCAACACCCATAGATTCTAGTAAGTTGGGATACAATATCATTCTTAACCAGCAGGTGCTGCTCTCTAACAAATGGTTCATTATAAATTGGTTCTTTAAAATCCTGCTTAAAATCTGATCCAAGTTCACACCTTAATTTTGGTTTTGGTTCTTTAAGATCGAGTGCCTATTTTAGCACTCTTTGCTTGAGGAGATGTTTTTAAAAAATGAAACGCAAACATTTCTCATCTGTTGTTAACTAGAATTGCTTGGGGTTTTCTTTCTTTTTTTCTATTGTGAATTTGGGTGAAAGTTAGTGCTCCGTTCAACAGTTTATACACGTTATGTTCCATGTCATCAGTTGAAATGAAATAATTATTAAATTTTTTTGAGTAATGATAGCTGGGTAACCATCCACATCTAGTTTCATAGCAAGAGGCAGTTGTTCTTGGAAACTACACATTCCAATAGCCCTTATAATTCCAATCTGGAGGGTTTTCATCAAAAATGGGTTTTGAAATTTATCAAAAGCTTTTTCTCCTTTGTATATTGATATGGTGTGTTACATTGATTGTTTTTCTAATGTTGAACTATCCCTGCATTCCTGGAATTAATCCCACTGGGTTAAGATGTGTGACTCTTTTAATATGCTATTGAATTCTGTTTTGTCTCATTTTGTTGAGGATTTTTTGTATCTTTATTGTTTTTGTGGTGTCTGCCTTCTTCAATAACAGCATTATGCTTGCTTCAGAGAATAATTTAGGGAATATTTCTCCCTTCTATATCTTAGAGTATTTAAACAGGATTGGTGTCAAAAGGCAGCATTTACCTGAGGGCAAAGCAAAGGACTAGGAAAGTAGGAAGAATGGAAACCGGAAACGAGATAGCAATGGTACACTAAAGGGATTGCAGTGAATGAATTGTCTCAGAATATTTGTGAGTTGTTGAATATAAAACTACATCTGCTCTGTAAACCTTCACGGAAGTCATATTGAAAAGTTTTAAGTAAACAAATAATTCTTCTCTTTTTGGTAGAATTGGACCAATGAAGCCATCTGGTCCAGAACTTTTGTTTAGTGATCTTGATTCAGCTCTTTTCTTGCTGTGGGTCTGTTGGTGCTTTCACTTTCCTCTCGAGTCACGCTGGGTAGGTGGGTGCTTCTAAAGTTGTGTCCATTTGACCTAGATTGCCCAATCTGTTGCTGTATAGTTGTTGCTGTTATATTCTGTTTTTAAGTCTTTTCATTTCTGTTGGGCCAGTCATAATTGCTCCTTTCATTTCTTACTTCAGTTATCTTATTATTATTATTATCATTATTTTTGGTTAGTCTAGCTAAAGGTTTTTCAATTTTATTGATCATTTCATAGGCAAAATTCCTCTGATTTTTTTACTTATTGTTGCTTTGATATTATTTCCTGTCTTCTGGTGGGCCTAGACTTATTTACCCTTTCTCGCTCCAGTTCCTCAGTTGTAGAATGAGGCTACTGATTTGAGTTCTTTTCTCTCTTTTTCATGTAGGCGTTTAATGCTGTAAGTTTTCCGCTTAGTGCTACTTTTGCTGCATCCCTTAAGCTTTAGTATTTCATATTTTCATTTCTATTTAGCTATAAGAAATTAGAGATTTCTCTTTTGATTTCTCCTTTAACCCACTGATCGTTTAATAATATGTTGTATAATCACATTTATTTTTCTTTCTGTTGCTAATTACTAGCTTCATTCCATTATGGTTTAAAGCAACAGTTCTTTTGGGGGGTCAAACAACCCTTTCACAGGGGTCGCCCGATGCATAGCAGTAGCAAAAATACAGTTATGAAGTAGCAACGAAAATAATGTTGTGGCTGGGGCATCACCCCATATGAGGAACTGTATGAAAGGGCTGCGGCCTGAGGAAGGTTGAAAACCGCTGGTTTAAAGGTATTGCTATTGCTCTACCAAGTGTCCCCTCCCACTAGGCACAGTGGGCTCTGCTGAGCACCAACAGTGGCTCTCTCAAACTTACCGCCATCGCGCTGAGTCCATTCTGACTCCTGGTGACCCTATAGGACAGGGTAGAACTGCCCCTGTGGGTTTCCGAGACAACAGTCTTTATGGAAGAGAAAGACTTCTCTTTCCCCTGAGAAGTGCCTCATCATTTCAAACTGCTACCTTGTGGTTCATAGCCCAGTGAGTAACCACGACACTACCAAGGCTGCTCTTGGCTCTCTAGAGATCTTCACTTGCCAGATCCAGGCTGCTCTCCACCTTGGTTGAAGAGCGTCCAAGTTGAGAGTTCATATAGGCTACAACTCAGTGATTGCCATTGTTTCTTGGTTCATGGGTCTGGGCACAATTATGGTGAGAGCACTGCCCACCTCTGGGCAGAGGAGCAGCTGCGTCTCTCCTGCCATGCTCCCTCGCCTGCACATCCTCTCTCTTAACTCACCCTTCAGTCGTTGTGCAAATGACACCTCCTCAGGGAGCCGTTTTGGACTATCCCCTTGCATAAGTGTAGCCAGTCAGAACTGAGAGAATAAGTTACTTAACTTCTCTGAGCCTTAGTACATCAGCCACCTCCGAGTCTCAAGTGTTTCTGCCACTTGAACATTTCTAATTCCATGAAAATTCCTCTCTTTCTCTTTCGTCCATTGTTATGTTCCCCAGTGCCTAGAATCGTACTTGGGACTTGGTAAGTGCCGCACACATTATTTGTGTAGTTAATTAACGCTGTCTGTAATATGAAGCATTAATTATAACAGTGCATAAGGTTGGTGGGAGAAAATAAGATCATGTGAAACAAGAGTATATCTTGTATGCAATGAGTATTAAGTAAATGGAAGCTTACATCGGTAAGTTCAGTCTTCGGGGTACTTGTCTGTCTCTCACAGGTTCCCAAACTTACTAGGCATACATCCCTTTTTGTAAAAAAAAAAAAAAAGGAGTTTCAAAGCCCTCTGTGTTTCCAGTTCCTATCTGTACCAGTGTACATC